AATATTTATGAAAAAATGGCAGGGCCAAGGTGTTAATAATCAATAGTCACCTCAAATGTAAATCACCTCAACTCTCCGGTTAACAGATTGGACAAATGGATTAAAAAAAACAAAATGCATCTATTTGCTGTCTACAAGAAACACATCTCACCAACAAAGATACAAGCAGACTGAAAGTGAAAGGACAGAAAAAGATATTCCATGCTAACTGAAAGCAATAAAGGGCATTTGTTGCCATCCTACTGTCAGATAAAATTGACTTTCACACAAAAACTGTTAAAGGAGATGAAGAAGGGCACTATGTAGTGATTAAAGGACCAGTTCAACAGGAAGATGTGCTATAATAAATGTACATGCACTCAAGCACAGAGCGGGTGCCTAGCTATTTAAAAGAAATATAAATGGATCTAAAGGGAGACATAGACTCCAATACAATAATAATGGGAGACTTCAGCACCTCACTTTCATCAATGGACAGATCAACTAGATAGAAAATCAACAAAGAGGGGCCAGTGCCATGGCTCACTTGGTTAATCCTCCGGCATCCCATATTGGTACCGGGTTCTAGTCCCGGTTGCTCCTCTTCCAGTCCAGTGCTCTGCTGTGGCCCAGAGGGCAGTGGAGGATGCCCCAAGTGCTTGGGCCCCTGCATCCGCATGGGAGACCAGGAGGAAGCACCTGGCTCCTGGCTTTGAATTTGTGCAGTGCATCGGCCGTGGTGGCCATTTGGTGGGTGAACCAATGGAAGGAAGACCTTCCTCTCTGTCTCTCTTTCTCTCATTGTCTAACTCTGCCTGCCAAATAAAAAAAAATAAACAAAGAAATAAGATAGTTAATCAACAATATGGACCAAATTAACCTAACCGATATCTACAGAAATCTTCACCCCACAGTTGCAGAATACACATTCTTCTCATCAGTGCATGGAACTTTCTTAGACTAGAGCATATGCTAGGCCAGAAAGCAAGTCTCAGCAAACTAAAAAAAAAATCAAAACCATACCATACATCTTCTCTGATCACAAAAGAATGAAGCTGTAAATTAACAATTCAAGAAGCTGCAGATCATATGCACATTCATGGTGACTGAAAAACATATTCCTGAATGAACCTTGTGCCATAGAAGAAATCAAAAAATTTCTGGAAACAAATGAATATTAGAATATATCATATCAAAGCTTATGGGATATAGCAAAAGCAGTGTTAAGATGGAAGTTTATAGCAATTGGTGCCTACATTAAGAAAGTAGAAAGGTATCAAATACATGAGCCATCAATGCAATTCAATCTACCAAAATTGAGTCATGAAAACATAGAAAACATAAACAGACCAATAACCAAAATGGAAATTGAATCAGTAATAATGACCCTCCTAACAAAGAAAAGCCCAGGACCAGATGGCTTCACTGCTGAGTTCTACCAGACATTTAAAGAATTAATTCCAATTCTTCTCAAGCTATTCAAAACAATTGAAAAAGAGGGAATCCCCCCAAATTCCTTCAGCATCACCTAATTCCTAAACCATAAAAAGATACAACAGAAAAACAGCACTATAGATCAATATCCCTGATGAATACAGATGCAAAAATCCTCAACAAAATATTAGCTAATCTAATCCAACAATACATCAGAAAATAACTCACCTGGACCAACTAGGATTTATCCCTGGTATGAACAGATGGCTCAACATTTGCAAATCAAAAATGTGTGATACATCACGTTAACAAACTGAAGAACAAAAAAAATATGATTATCTAAATAGATGCAGAGAAAGCATTTGATAAAGTATAGCATCATTTCATGAAGAAAACCTTAAAAATTGGGTAGAGAAGGAACATTCTTAACACAATCAATGCAATTTATGATAATCCCATGGCCAGCATCCTATTAAGTGAGGAAAATCTGGAAAAATTCACTCTAAGATCCAAAATCAGACAAGAGTGTTCACTATTAACATTGCTCTTTAATATTATTCTGGGAAACTTAGCCAGAGAATTCAGGCAAAAAAAGTTAAAGGATACAAATTTTAAAGTAGGAAATCAAATTATCCCTATTTGCAGATGACATGATTCTGTATTTCGGGATCCAACAGACTCCACAGAGAGGCTTTTAAGATCAGTCCCATTCAGAATAGCTCCAAAAATGATTAATAACTTTGGAACAGATTTGACTAATGATGTCAAAGATCTTTATGATAAAAATTGCAAAACACTAAAAAAAGAGATAGAAGAAAACATTAAAAAATGAAAAAATCTTCCATGTTCATGGATTGGAAGAATGAAGATCATCAAAATGTCCATATTGCCAAAGCAATTTACAGATTCAATGCAATCCCAATCAAAATACCAAAGATTCTTTGCAGATCTAGAAAAAATGCTGCTAAAATTCATATGGAAACACAAGAGACCCTAAATAGCTAAATCAATCTGAAACAACAAAATGAAAGCTGGAGGCACCACAATACTGTATTTTGGGACATACTACAGGGCAATTATAATCAAATCATCCTGTACTGGCACATAAACAGACATGTAAACCAATGCACCAGAATAGAAACTCCAGAAATTAATCCACACATCTACAACCAACTTAATGTCAACAAAGGAACTAAAATCAATCTCCAGGAGCAAGGACAGTCTCTTCAACAATTTGTGCTGTGAAAACTAGATCCCTGCATTCAGAAGTATGAATCTACACCCATACCTTACACCTTTACACAAATATCCATTCAAAATGGATCCAACACCTAAATCCATGACCTGATATCATCAAATTTCTAGAGAACATTGGGGAAACTCAGAAAGATATTGGCATAGGCAAAGATTTCTTGGAAAAGACTCCAGAAGCACAGGCAATCAAAGCAAAAACTGACAAATGGGATTACATCAAGCTAAGAACTTTCTGTACTATAAAAGAAACACTCATCAAAGTGATGAGGCAACTGAGAGAATGGGAGAAAATATTTGCAAACTACCCAATTGATAAAGGGTTAACATCAGAATCTATAAAGAGCTCAAGAAATTCAATAACAACACAACAAATAGTCCAGGTAAGAAGTGGGCAAAGGACTTGAACAGGTATTTTTCAAGAGAGGAAATTCAAATGGCCAACAGACACTTGAAAAATGCTCTCAATCACCAGTCATCAGGGAAATGCAAATCAAAACCACAATGAAGTTTCACCTCACTCCAGTTAGAATGGTTCTCACACAACAATCAAAAAACAACAAATGCTTGTGAGGATGTGGGGAAAAAGGTACCCTAATCCACTGTTGGTGGGAATGTATGTTGCAGCCAGTGTTGAAGACAGTATGGAGATAACTTACAAACTGACTACAGATCTACCATGTGACCCAGCTTTTCCACTCCTGGAAATTTACCCAAACCAAAAGCAATCAGCACATGAAATAGTTATCTGTATCCTACTGCAGCACAATTCACAACAAGTAAGATATGGAATCAACCCAGATGTCCATCAACTGAAGACCGGATAAAGATCTTATGGTATATATATACACTATGGAGTACTACTCAGCATTAAAAAAAATGAAATCAGGCTTTTTGCAACAATATGGATGCAACCGGATACCATTATAATTAGGGAAATAAACTAGTCACAAAAAGATATCATATGTTTTCCCTGATCTAAGGTAACTAAGAGTACTCAAATGTAATCTTTAGGAGTGAAACTGACATTTTGGGATTTGATGATTGCTTATAGCCCTTTTTCTTCTGTTGAGGAACAGCGTTTATTTTATTCCCTTCATACTATTTGTTGAACTCTTTTACTTCGTTTAGGGTTAACTATATAATTATTAAGTAAACTGAAAATAGATCTTTATAAAATTTAAGAGTGGGAATGTGAGAGGGAGGAGGAGGAAGGGTTGGAGCTTGGGTGGGAAGGAGTGTAGGGGGAGGTATACCTATGTTTCTGAATCTGTATATATGAAACACATGATAACTGTATAAGAAATAAAATTTTAAAAATAAAATAAATTAGAATCCATATTCTATCAAAAAAAGAGGTAAGGACAATGGGGCCAGCTCTGTGGAGTAATAGATTAAGCCTCTGCCTGTGGTGCTGGCATCACCAATTTGAGTCCTGGTTGCTCCTCTTCTGATCCAGCTCCCTGCTGATGCCCTGGGAAAGTGTTGGAGGATAGCCCAAGTTCTTACACCACTGCACCCACATGGGAGACCCAGAAGGGGCTCCTGGCTCCTGGTTTTGGATTGGCCCACCTCTGGCCATTGTGGCCATTTAGGGAGTGAACCAGCAGGTGGAAGACCTCTCTCTCTGTCTCTCCCTCTGTAACTCTGCATCTCAAATAAATACATCTTTTAAAAAATTATCTTTAAAAAGTTTACATAATCTGATGAAAATATCTTTAAATTCTACATACTTTGAATACTCTTGCATCTTATTTTTATAATCTTTTTTTGAGTATTACTGTCAATTAAATAAAATCCAGGTTTCTCATTTTAAAATAATCACCTTTCTAACAAATGACTTCCTGTCATTCAATTCAAAATTTCACCCTATTCCCAGTGTGTCTTCCTTCTCTGCTTTTCCTCTACTATTTTTCACAGTCATATTCTTTCTCATTCACCTCTTGTTGTCTGTTTCACCCATTACAAATTAAGTTCCATGAAGGGGAGGGCTTTTTCGTTACAGTATCACCAAAGATTAGAATGTAATTTGGCATCCCCTAAGAGTTTGGTGAATTGATGAGTGCTTTGTTTATGCTCTTCTGACTCAAGTACACTTGTTTTCCTTCTTTACATGTTCCTGGGAATGTTACCATAGCTGTTATAGGCCACTGAACTCTCCTTTCAACACTTAAATAGAAATAAAATTCTTGAGATTATGGAGCCCTTGGAATATTGCTATACATGGACTCTATTTGTGGTTTGAAGAACAAGGACTTGCATGCCAAAAACTATTACTCATATCTGTTCAGTTAACTTCTGCTGCAGAGTGTGTTGAGCGTTCTGACTGGACTTACCTTCAAATTCCAGTAGGTAGGTTTAAACTCAACACATTATTTCATGAATGCCCGGTGAGCTTCTGTTTCTGTTTTGTGAAAGACTCTGTAAAAAGTTTAAAAAGATAAGTGACAAGTTGGCAGAAACATTTGCAAAACACATTGTGATAAAAGATTGGTATCTAAAATATGTGAACTCTTTAAACTCAACAATAAGAAGAGTAAAAATTCATAAGAAATAGGCAAAAGATATGAACAGATCACTAAATAAGATATGAGGTTACTTCAAAAAGTTCATGAAAAGATTAAAAGATGAGTTTATATCGGTGAATCAAAATTTGAAATTCATTCATAGTTTTTTAATAATGCTCATTTTCTATGATCTTTTTGAAGATTCCCTTGTACAGATGGCAAAAAAGGTATAAGAAAAATTGCTCAGTGTCATATGTCATTATGGAATTTTAAATTAAAACAACCATGGGGTCAGGTGTTCAGCATATCTATTAAGATGCTAATTAAGATGCCCACAATCCATTTTGGAGTACTTAGGTCTGAGTTCTGGCTCCACTCTTGATTCCAGCTGCCAGCTAAAGTGGACCCTGGGAGGCAGAAGATGGTGGCTCAAGTGGTTGGGTCCTTGTCACTCACATGGATGACCTAGATTAGTTTCCTGGCTCTGCTCTAGATTTTGCGGGTATTTGGGAAATAAGCCAGCAGCTAGGAGCTCTCTGGAAAATAAATAAAAAATAATAGAAAATAATAATGATATGTTAATACACATCTACTAGACAGGCTAAAATCTGAAACACTGGCAACACCAAATTCTGGCAAAGATGTGGAACAACAGGTGTTCTCATTCATTGCTGGTGACAGTTTGAAAAGGTAATGCCACTTTGGACATCAGCTTGGCAGTTTTTACAAAGCTAAATATACTCCTACTGTTGTGGGAAAGTAGGTAGCTAGGGGAGAAGCTAAGGTCTCACAGTTCCTTGCTGACCAGCACAACAGTGTGGATTGATGATTGACAGCTCCAGCTGAGCTGAGGTCTGACTGCTTACAACTGAGGCTGAATAGCAGCTGGGTAGCTCCTTGCTAATCTACTTGACAACGTGGGTAGGTGATTGACAGCTCCAGGTAATTCACATTTTGACTGCTGTGGCCGCTCATATGGCCACACAGACTGCCTGGTCTGGCCCACATAAGAAATCCTCTTCTGTGCACTATCCAAACACCTTTCCCTTTCTCTGCACAACCGAAGCCTCCCTTTCTGTGCACTGTGCAAGCCTACCTCCCATGAACCAGCAAGCTCCGCTCTCTCCCTTCAGAGTAGCAGAAATCTTGAATGCTATAATGTTGTGAAGTTGCAATCAGAACAAGCCAGAAGTGTTCAACATGACTGTAAGATGTGTCCCCACAAAGACAGTTCGGTCATTATAACGTCATTACAATAAAATGCCCACTCCCATGATGCATTTGGTGCCATGACATTCTAGGGGATATGGAAATAGGTGATGCTTGAGCTATGTTCCAAATTCAATCCCTGGACATAACTCCCTTGACTCTGGAGGGTATGAAGGAAAGGCCTAAACTTGTCAACAGGACTTTTTCTTTGTGGGGGCTTTTTGTTGGATGTTTTTCCTTGGAGAGAGATTTTCTTTATTCCTGGAGTTTTGTGCTTTTGGCTGTTTTGTTAATGCACAACCTAGCTCTTGAGCTTACACTTTTGTTTTACTCCAAATAAATCCTGATTTTTTGTATATCTTTATGTTCCCACTTTGAATTAGTTCACTCATAGATGGATGACCATGCAATAAGCCTTTCTGGGAGTGTTGCAGCCAACAATGTTACCACACCACTCAGCATTTGTGATTCTAAGTATTTATCTAAATAAATTGAAAACTTAATCCATAGAGAAACCTTCACACACATGTGTATACCAGTTTTATTCATAATTGTCAAACATGGAAGCAAACAGAGATTCTTTAGTTGGTTAAGGGACATGCAAATTGTGGTACAACCAGACAATGGAATATTACTCAACAGTAAAAGTAAATGAGCTATCAAAGACTTGGAAGAAGCTTAGAAACATATTACAAAGTGAACAAAACCACTGGATGATTTCAATTCAGCTATGATATTATAGAAAAGTCAAAACAATGGAGACAGTAAAGAGATCAGTCGTTGCTAAGGTGTCAGAGGGATGAATAGGCAGAATACAGGGGGTTTAGTGGAGTGGTGGATATATGACAGTATAGATTTTCCAAACCCCACTGAAATATACAACACGTGGAGTGAATCCTACTGTAATTTATTGACTAAATAATAATAACATGAATGGCCCATCAACAGTAACAAAAGTACCACGCTAACTCAAGACGCTAACAAAATTAGGGGATTTGTGGAGATGGGTACCCCCGGGATCATATGAGAACCTTCTTTGTTTCTGTCCAACTTTTCTGTAAATCTAAAGTTGCCCTAAAAATAAACTATTTTAAAATAACTAGATATAGTCACAAAGGCAGTAGTTCTTCGAATGTAAGGTCATGGATAGAGAAATTGAAGGGAAATGTGGGATAGGAATGTGAATTTAAGAATTTAAGAGCTGGCGCTGTGGTGCAGCGGGTTAACGCCATGGCCTGAAGCTCCGGCATCCCATATGGGCTCCAGTTCTAGTCCCAGCTGCTCCTCTTCCGATCCAGCTCTCTGCTACGGCCTGGGAAAGCAGTAGAAAATGGCCCAAGTGCTTGGGTCCCTGCACCCGTATGGGAGACCTGGAGGAATCTCTTGGCTCCTGGCTTCAGATTGGCACAGCTCCAGCCATTGTGGCCATCTGGGGAGTGAACCATCAGATAGAAGACCTCTGTCTCTCTCTCTGCCTCTGCCTCTCCTCTCTCTGTGTAACTGACTTTCAAATAAATAAATAATCTTTCTTTAAAAAAAAGATGACTTCAATGCTTCATTCTATTGCAACTGTCACTCATTAAATGGCCATGGTTCTCTGCTGAGGAGAAGACTATCCCAGAGTTGGTTTCTCATTTTTATGGCATAGTGGGCTCCCAAGACCAGTTTGAAAGCCTTGATGTCTCAAACAATGCTTTCCCCACTCACTGTTCTTTTATCTGATAAAATGACATAAAAATGTCTAAAGTGGAAGTGAAACAGAACCCTGTTTCACCTGAAAAGAGCCTTAATTATGAGCCTTAATAATGCAGAAGCAGGCTCCACCAAGAAAGGGCTCTTTAAGCACTTTCCTTGTCACTCTGTTCTTAAGCCCCAAGAGAACAGGTGGAAATCAAGTGTGCTGATCCCTATTCTGAAGACATAACATAGACCTTAGTTCTCAGGGGTAAGTTGGTTAGCTCTTGATGGATCCAAACACTTTCATGAAGATTAAGCCAAACACTTGGGACAGCCGGCTGAACTTGGGGATAGTTAGTGAATTTAGAATGGTCCAAGACCTGTTGATATCCTGCCAAATATAGGAATAAGGGTGAGAGAGAGCTGTGGGGGCTAATGTATGGAAAACAATATTACCTCTTTTTTCAAACAGTACATATGTTAACCAGAGCATGATCTTCCTTAACATACTCACTAATTCATTATAGAAACAAATATTTACCCATCTCTGGGGTTGGAAGAAATCAGTACACCTAGACTTTGATATAAATCAAAGATCAGTTGCATTTCTTGGCTCAAATATTGAAGCAAAGGAAAACAGTCTCTCTGATGATTTATTAACACCTGATTTTTGACAGAAAATTATTTGCAAGATGCGCTATGACCTGACCATTAAACAGACCATTAAAGCCTCTGAGGGGAATTTTATGATATCCACTGTGCAAGTCAATGTCAATGAAGGACAAGTAACATTTCCATTTTTGTGAGAGACTGAGCTGTGCCAGACATGACTCTGGGCAGGCAGAAGAATGCATGTCTACAAGTTCTTGGCTTATCTGTGAGGTTGGGCTGCCCTGGGAAGATCATCCACACCTGCCCAGGCTACCCAGTGCAGGTTGCCATGAGCTTGCATTTTATGTTGTTCGTTCTTTCTTTCTTTCTTTCTTTCTTTCTTTCTTTCTTTCTTTCTTTCTTTCTTTCTTTTATTTCTAAGCACTGAAGACAGACCTCAGGTTGAGTACAGAGCAATCGTATAAAATATTAAAATCTAGTCATTTAATTCTCCTGCTTGAAATATTTCAAAGTCTCTCATGGCTCTTACAGTAATGTAAAAAACTTTTAACAAGTCTCTAAGATCACAAGGGTCTGTATCCTGCCCATCTCACCAGCCTTGTTTTCTGCTACTTTGTTCACAGTACACCAATCACAAAGGGCTTCCTTTTATTGCTGGAATTGTACATGTTGTCCATCCCTCTGTGTGGAACCTTTTCCCCCTAGCTTGTCCCTCCTCCCAGACTCATACAACCAATTTCTACTCCTACTTAAGATATCAAATTGAAAGATACTTGGAGGGAACCTTTTTGCCTGGCATTCTTGAAGCCATGGTGCCTGAGGTTTCACTAGTATTGCACCTTGTACATTTTTATAACCATCATCATAGTTGTCATTTTCCAGTTGTTTCCTTCTATAATTAGGTGCAGACTCTGGTGTTCTGAGCTGTTTATAATACAGCTTCTACCATGGTTTCAGTTCCTAGCACAGGATCGGGCACAAGGCAGTTGATCAAATACTTCCTGTGGGGACAGGCACTGTGGTGCACCAGGTTAAGCTGCAACTAGGGGCACCTGCATCCTATATTGGATGCTAGTTTGAGTCCTGGATGCTCCACTTCAGATCCAGCTCCCTGCTAATGCACCTGGGAGGTAACAGGTATTGGCTCAAGTACTTGAATTCCTGCCACCCATATGGGAGACCCAAACTGTGTTCCTGGATCCTGGTTTCTGCTTGGCCCAGCCCAGCTGTTATGAATATTCAGTGAGTGATCCATAGATGGATGACCTCTTTCTCTCTATCTCTCTCTTTTTCAAATAAATAAATAAAATGAATATTTAAAAAAATAAATACTTTTTGGGATGCAAAGATTTGACAATGAACTTTGCCATTTCATTTCATGTTGGGATGGTGTATTGAAACTGCATAGCTAGAAGG